GATATTGTATCACTTTGTCATTCTATGTCTAGAGACTTGTAACCCCACTCGAATGGTATGACTGTTGTGTTTTTAACGATATATGGTTCTATGTTTGTAACTTGTCTGTCTTTCCCCTCCCTCCAATTGTGAGCCGCCCTGAGTCCCCCCAGGGAAAAGGGCGGCATACAAATAAAGTATAAACTAAACTAAAGTATAAACTGGAGAAAACTGGTTCAAACTATTTCTCTCATTTTTTAAAATTTCCATCCAACTCATCCCATATTTTCTTCCATCTTTTAATCTCAGCCAGACCTTGCTCTTTGAAATTCTTTTCTTCCCATATAGATTATATATTTGATCCGTATTCGCAGCAATATTTTCTCATGAATGTTTTTCTCGTCCATTCTTTTATTTCATCCTTATTTTTATACTTCCCTTTCCACAGTTTTTTGGCACTCCATGAGAATCAATTTTCAGTCTGTTCCAAGCACATATCATCTTTTTTCACACCCATTTTTCATTTGATTATATTCTAAGAACAAACCCAAATGTTCTCATCTTTCACTTTCCCGGTTCATTTCCCCCCCACCAAATCTACCGTCAACATCATCAAAAAAGTGTTTCTCCCTGGTTACTCACCACTCTTGCATTCCTTAATTCTTGCTCTTTCATCATAAACGATCAAAACTATCGTGGTTTTGAACTTGCATTTCTTTTACTCTGTGTAAGTAGAAATTATTAAACTTTGTATTTAGCTTAAATGGATATTTTTCTAAACAAACACTCATCAAACGCCATCTTTATGTCTCTGAAAAGTTGAAAACATAGTCTATTGTGGATGAAAAGATAAAAATGTATATTGTATCAGAAATAATGTTGGTGTTATCTAGGTTATTGAGTATATCAGTGAAAAGTAGGATATGTCAGCTGCTGTTATTTGTATGTTATGGTCCAGTGAACTGTGATAAATAAACAATAAAATAGATGAGACTTGGTAAATATTATAGACCATTATAAGTGAATTTGATGCATGGGGAAAAATAGATGGCACGAATGGATGGGTGGGAATGAGAGAGAAGACCATGAATTATAAGTACACTCCACTGCATGTATTCTCAACTCCCCTTTACAAGAGTAGGTCACCTTTCTCCAGGTCCACTGTAGAGATTCCTTTCCAGTTTATCCATACAACTTACCTGTTCCCCCCTTTCCTTAGTTTCATTCATTAATTCATGCTCCTTAATCCATTAACTCTCTTATATTCCAGGTAGCAATCTTCTATTTTGTTATCAGGCAGATGCAGACCCTGATTTCTGTTTCCTTGGCGAAATTATTCCCATGTAATTTGCACATCACTACAAACATTTTTTAAAAGGTAACTTGATCTGAAAGGGATTTAATTGACATTCAGGAATTATTCTCTTCCAGAAAGAGCCATTAAATTAAATATTTGTTGAGTACGGAAGGCAGAGACTACATTATTTATGTCTTCGTTCATTTAATTTTTAACCACACTTTTCATTTCATAGTTCAATGCAGCATACATAGCACCCTCTTCTGGTTTTCCCCACAACAACCCTGTAAAGTAGGTCTACAGAGAACTTCTTGATATGGAATAAGCCTTTGTCAGGCTCCAAAAATTCAAGAAAGACAAGTTGAGATCCTTCTAAGCAATTTTCTTTATTGCTCCTCACCTATACATAGAAATCTTGCCAAACCAAAGCAGACTGCTTGCACCTTAAAATATGTACTCAAGGAGTTACTAGGGAGAGGCCATCCTTACCCTCTTTCTCTGACACAATCAATCTAAACTGTGCTACTTCTTGCTCCTCTGGAATACCCTCCCACCCTCCCTCCAGGGAATCTGGACAACAGCCTTCTTGACTAAAGCTGCCCCAGTGGCGGTACAGCCCTTAATCTCTACACTCCAGTGACTCAGTGTGCTTACCACTGCTGGTGAGACCCACATGTCATGCAGCATTCCCTGTCAACAGCAAGGATGGTTCTGAATAGACCTGAGATATGTGGGCTTCTTTTGTGCCACTAGAACAGCCTCAGATGCATATCTGATTTAGGCAAGGGTGGGATTCTACCATTGGACCAGTTCGGGTGAATCAGTAGCTCAGCTGGGAACGAACCGGTTCACTCCAACAATGAAGTGTGCCTACCTGCCCAGCCACCTGCCCCTGCGCTTAACTCACCTATATTTTCCCAACTGAGTCCCGCAGCAGAGCAGATTGCCACATCTCAGCTATTTTCCTCCCCAGCAATAATGCAGAAGGTGCTTTTTCTCAAAACTGTGCATGTGCGCACGATCATTGAACCTGTTGTTAAACCAGTAGGATCCCATCACGAGATTTGTGCAATATGCAAGCCAACATACTGTTGCCAGCAACCCACAAATTTGGAGGTACATAGAGTATTCTGCCACATACACATACACATTTGGAGGCTTTCAAACTTTTTTCAATTTTTTCATGTATAATTCTACTGCCTATGCAAGCTCTCTAATTCATTTTAAGGATCTATGTTTAAAGTTCCAGTTACCTCCATTTATGGCTGTTTATAATAATCTGTTTACTTATATTATACCTACCATTACTAAGGGCTTCGTAAGGCAGACTGAATGTTTCTAAAGATAACATTAATTTGAAAATTAAGATTCAAGGGCTTTCCAATATCTAATACAATTTGTTCTCATAGTATCCCTCCCACTCAGAAATACATCCTTCAAAAAAAATCTTTCACCACGTAAATCCGTACTTCATATTTTACCTTTTAAAAATGTATGATATAGCATGACAATAAACTTAATTAACATCTAGTCATATTTCAATTAAATACTTCCTGTAAGGCAAAGCATGTGACTCTTTAAAGGAAAAAAAGGAACTTTAATTTAAAGGTGTAGGTCAATACAGCATAAGGGGGGGGGGGAATACAGAATGAAGCTATAATTACTGTTGAATATTTTCCATATCTGTTTTGAAAGTATTTCTAATCTTCTTAAACTTACTGAAACAATATCCTTATCAGCAAAAATAGAGCAAGAATAAAATAAATTGTTATCAGGAACATGGCCAGATTGCAATTTGTACATGATGCTTGGATGTCTATTTCAGCATATAGTAGTATTAATGAATTTGGGAATGTAGAAAATGACAGTTAAGCCTTGATAATATACCTTAGTTGGCCCAGGTTAATTGGACAGTCAGTCCAATTAACCTGGGCCAACTAATAGTCATTTGCAATCAGAAAATTCACAATACAGGATATGTCAGCTATAAGGATTTCTTGAAATCTTTGAGATTTACAATACAGAACAGCCCACATAATTTGCTGTAATGTAGAACAACATCTATGCTGTTCATTTACTCACAATCAGGTTTTTCAAATAGAACAATAATATTGGCCCTATTGGAAAAAAGAACAATGGGTTTGAGATATCAAAATACTAGTTTATATGTATTTACCTGGAAGTTTTCGATTTAACTCTGTTTTTTGGGAGATCTGCATAAGATTTCAATATCACCCCAGCCCCCTTCCCCAAATCCATTAGGAATTATATACTTTAGACTTAAAAGTGGCTAAATTCATCTTGTTAAAACTCACGGTATAAAAAGTTCAGAGCTTTTTTGGAGCATAAAATTGCAGAAATAATTAATGAATTTTGCATTCATGAAAAATAGAAGAAACTGAATGCATAAAAAGCTGGGGGATTAAAAGATGACACTTCTGTGACAAATACAATGGATAAACTGTGAACCAGTGATTCTAAGTATAAATTTTTTTAAAAACACACACATATAAATGCATTTTGTAAGGAAGTTTGTTATTCCCTTGTATGGTAAGCAGCAAGTCCCACACTTCTTTCCCAATACTAAAAGCAGGATTCTGCTACAGAGAGCATTAGCACATGTATCTAAATTATCATGGTCCCTAACACATCCATTGTTTACTTCAAAGTGAGTTACTACACTGTTGTTCAGCTAGTCTTCACAGTCTGTTTACGCTAGACAAATGATAGACACAGAATCTATAATTATCAAAAACCATCACCATTGCACATAGACTAAACAATTTCTATTTATTTTAATCATTGCTGGGAACAAGACAGTCTCCCTATGTCCCACACCTGCAATAAGTTAAGCCAACAAGTCCTTCAAGCCAAGCGGCTTCATTTTCACCAATAATTACAGTATTCATAGACATCTAGATCTTGAGGAACTATGAAATCTATAGATCCAATAGTAATACTTTCTTTGTTGAGCACTTTGTTGAGAGGCTTTATAACTTATGCCAGGATTATTAAGAGAAATAAAGGAGACAATTCATGCCCTCGTCGACTAAGCCTGAGAGTCACATGGGCAACATGCCCGCTAAATGACTGAAAATGATGAGTGTTGTGTAGATAAGCATCTCTGCACACCAACGGCAGAATCTATAAAAGCCACTCAACTCGAGCATCGTATGAGTCACATGGCAGCTGTAGCCAATCCAGGAGATTCACAGTTATGCTGGAAGTCAGAGTAGAAAGGAATTCCAACCCAGTCCGGTAGCGTGTTCTTTAGCCTTTCAAGTAAAATACTGCACTACGAGGAACATGATTACGCATGTCACCAGCATGCCACCAATCATGAAGTACTTATCCTGGAAGGCACGTTTCTCAATGAGACGCATGACTGTATTAGATAAACCGAGCATATTGGCAACATCCATTATTTTCTTGTGGGTGCCCTGAAAGTGACAAAAAAAGTGACAATATTAGTTTTTTAAAAAGTTGTCGGAGAGGGCTTTTGACTTTCAAGGTACACTTCTTCAGATATTTCCTACAGAGCCTTCGGTCTCTCCAGAAACAAGATGCATAGTTTACCCCTAACCACTTTATTTTATATATATCCATTTTTTTCCCTCACCCATTCTCGATTACCAATTTCTTTTGCTCTTCAGAAATTTTTTATAATCCCTATGACTTCTTTAAGTATCTACAATCACCTAAAATTTTAAAAAATGATTTGGGAGGGAGAGGAGGGCAGGGGAGGGGAGAGGAGAAGAATAGTGATAATTTCTATTTTTCTTTAATATTTCCATTCTGCTTTTAAAATTATCGCATATCAGTGCTCAATCCAATAGAAGAATGTTTTAAAATGTATACAGTTGAGATGCCATTATCAGTCGTCTTGCAAATTAAGATCAAGTCAAATGGCAATATACTTTTGGATCATGATTTACTCACTGCAGAGCGGCTGATTTTGCTGGAAAACGCAGGCTGACCCCTAACTGTTGTACATAAATTCCCTACATACAATTTTCAATCACAAACTAAGAAACTATTTTTAATAATAGCTCTATATTTTGTATGTTTTTTTTCCATGTGAGTCTGCCCAGCCATAAAGCAATATAGATCATCCTTGTTATTTGCAAAGTTTCCGTTCCAGGAAACTGCAACCAACAAAATAATAAATAATGTGATCTTGAAATGGGATGGGAAGGTGAGCCCATCTTGAATCTCCAGTCATTATCTTTCTCTCACAAGCACTTACTCTTTCTCCTACAGAGATCATCTCAGCAATGTATTTGTTCCTCAGTTCACCCACTTCAAAGGTGACTTCCTTGTGGTAGTTATCCTTTTTATTCTTTGGAGTAAGTTGCTTGGCTGCTGATGAACGATGCTGTTCCATTAGAACCTCTCTTGGCGTCTCTCTCCAAGATGGCTGCTTTTACTGGATTCCACTGCTGCCTACAGATTACTTGGGGCTTGCTCCGCTGGCTGTATGATGCTTACTGTCTGGATGGTCTTTCTTCCTCTGCGCACAGCAGAGAAGTCTAGCATAAGCCACATCACACATAGAATTTTCTCTATTGCCAGTTGAGCAAATCACACCAAATAAGTCCAGCAACCACAAGGAAGTCACATGAACTATGCAGCTAGACTAAACAAATAGACCCGCCACAATTACAGGAGGAGCAAATACATTATATGGACAACCTAACTGTAATGAAACTTTACACAGTCATAGAATCCTATCCACAATTTTGTGCATATAGAAGGGAGGAAAAAATGGCCAGAGATATGGTATATACTGAATATATCAAGGTCTGGTCCTGAAGCTGAAAATATAATAACATAAAACATAAAGATAATAAGGTAGCAGCTAATAAGAACCACCTAAAAGTAAGAAGGAATATGCCTGCAAGCTATCAGAATAGTAACACAACTGGAATGTGTATAACTCACTATCCCAGGTACAGAACATTCTGGAGAAGTCTGGAATGTTCTTGCCATCTTCCAGATCGCACAGATTTGGCTACTCCAGTGAGAGTTTGGCAGTCTGTATGTGGGCAAGAGGACAAATGGAATGTTGCAGACTTCTCCAGAATGGTATGCGATGCACATATCTAACTACAAAGCAGCACTGTGTAATTAAACAGTGAACAGTAACCAATTGGAAGCTTGTTTGTCCACCAATGCACAGGTGCACAGAAAATGAGTATGTTTGCTATGAAATTAAGAAAAAAAAACATCTTCCAATTTTTCCTTTAATAGAGGCACTTTATTTATCTGTCACAATTTTAAAGATTTCTGGAATTGGTCACTTAGGTCTGAGAAAACAGTTGCATTCCAAAATATTTCTACTTTCAAAACATCAGAAACTGCCAAATCCACCACGCCCACATCCCTTGACCAACCCAGTCTCTTCCAAGTATCAGCTCAAGAACAAAGTAGGGCTAGAATAAAAACAGGCATCAGGTTTCAAACACCAGCATCTACTCAGCAGTCTAATTTTTTTTCTTTAACCTGTGCAGAAGAAGCTACAGGGCATTTGAGGGTAAGGTGGGGAGAATAATTACAAGGGCTTTGCACTAACATGCTGATAGTAGCAGAATACACAGTTACAAAGTAGATCACATAGGAAAATATGAAGACAATGTGGGAAAGTAAAGGAGATCACATACACAAGGCATGACTGGAGAAATGAGACCAGAACCAGCAATGGTTATGAGCAGGACCTCTGAAGAAGGGAAAAGAAGCAAGGAAGAGGAAGAATGGAAGACTAAAAAGCTGGAGTAAACTTCATGCATGCAATCTCCTTAGGTACCATTGGCATGGAGGATCCACTTTCAGAAGTTTAGAATGGAAGAGACAACCATCAGATAGGGTTTCTTTCTTCTTCTTCTTTTTACTCTATTACTTTACTAAAGAAAGTTGCTTAAAAGACTGTTGGTTTGTCTATCTAGTTTGTTGCTCTCTATGGATTCATGAGTCTTTCCCATCAATCATCACTGGAAAGTTGTAATTGGCTAACTGTAATTGGCTAACTGGAGAATCATGATCTCTTGCATGCAAAGACCTTACTATGTGAAACAGTCCAAGTTACAAAAGTCAGAAGAGCTTCTTCTAGAAGCAAACCGGAAAAAATTGAGCCACAGTGTCACAGTGGTTAGAGTGCAGTACTGCAAGCTACTTTTGCTGACTGTCTGCTGCCTGCCATTTGGCAAATCTAATCTCACCAGGCTCAAGGTAGACTGAGCCTTCCATCCTTCCGAGGTGGGTAAAATGAGGACCCAGATTGTGGGGGACAATAGGCTGACTCTGTAAACCGCTTAGAGAGGGCTGTAAAGCAATGTAAAGCGGTATATAAGTCTAAGAGCTATTGCTATTCTCTTATTTCTATGGTTGTGCTTATTTTAATTAGATATCTTCAAAAAAATTGAATTATTTCATTAATAAAACACCCAATTCCTCCCAAGGATGAAAGTACTGCAGCCAGCTTGGAAGAGCAAAGCTATAACAAAAATAAAGCTAGATTTAAATTCCATGTAATTCAAAGCCAGAATGACTGAATTGGGGGACTTGAACTGTTCTGATGAATTTCTGATATTCAAATTTCAAATGTAGTGGATGCCTGGTCACCATAAACAAAAAAGGTGAAGGTCCCACCCTATGCCCACCTTTAATGTCACTCTCTGATCCCTCAGGCCCTGTAGGATGCTGGTTCCGCTGCCAATAAGATCATCCATGCCACGGTGTGCATTTTGAAGGGATTCATTAAATTGTAATGTTTCGTCAATTGGAATGGTGGTGTCAGAATCCTGCAGGGGGAGGGAAGGAAATGGAAGCATCTTGATTATCTTTCCTTGGCATTCTTAACCCAAAGCCTCTACAGAGTCAACCATATGCTATGGCCGTGAAATTCAAACTTCCTGCCCTCCCAAACTCTTTTCTACATCGGCCCCCAAGCAGCTCCAGTGCACTGTCAAGTGCATTGTTCACTTAATTTTTGGGTTAAAAAAAAAAAAAAACTAAGTGAACAACAACTATTTTTTTAAAAAATGTGGCTGTAAAATTTTGAAGACTGAAATCAGAAAGAAAGCAAACTTATGCCTAAGTCCTCCGGTTTTAAGGGCAGGACTTACATTAGTGGTGAACGTTCGAGTCAGAAGCTCCTCACGTTGTCTTTCTTGCTGCTCCCGTGCATAACGGCGATGCTGGAAATTTCGCAATCCTGTCTGCAGATGCTGAATGTCATATTTCAGCTGGTCAACCCGGCTGAAAAGAAGCAATAGGTCCCCACCCCCCCCCAAATAAGACAATAATTAATGGGAAAAGACTGACTGCAGGAATGTTGTAAAGCAAACCTGCTATTGTTCAGTGGAACACTGTACATAATTATAGAAAACCTGTGCTCTAATAGTATTATAACTTTGGCCACATAAATATTGATGTACAAAACACCTCTTTAGTTGCTATTACATTATATTTTAGTTGAAAAGCAGCTCTTCATTCCTCAGATGGAAAAAATTTCCAATACTCTCTTTTTCAAGACTCCCAATTGAGCCTACTATTCCTATAGTATTCAGTCCAGGATATCTGCTGAGAAATCACTCGGGGGGGCAAAAAAAACCCTGCAAAAAATCCTTCTCAATGGCAGCTACAACTTTATAGAGCCAAAGAAAACTATCTGAATCAGAGCATTTATTATTTCTCATTTTTCATTTGGTTTGGGAGATATTTAATAGCATCAGCATAAAAATAACACATCCCTTGATGTGTACCAGTAAATTAAAATGTGTTAAGATAATATCAAGAAAACAATCACTCACAGTTTGGCATTTTGCCGCTTGTTTGGAGGTTCCTTGCTGCAGAAGATTTCCAGCCGGTCTAAATTGCTAAAAATTCTGTCTATTCGTGCCTGAATTTCATTTTCTACCACTACAGAGGGAGACAAATAAAAATAAGCTCTTTTGCTGCTTTAAGATGCACAATAATTTCTTTCTAACTAAACATCCTGTTTAATCAAAATGAGTATCTCAACTTGTACAGCTCAGATAAAAGGAACTATCAGGAATTGGATGAATCACCCAATGAGATTCTGGTAAATAATAAATGTGATCCAAATGTCATGGCTTCACAATTGATACATATTTTAAAGTCTATTGAGGTATTTTTCAGAGTATAAGACACACTTTTCTCCCCCACTAAAAGAGGGTGAAAATTTGGGTGCATCTTATACACCAAATGTAGCCCCGCCCACCTGCTCACCCCCACCCTTCAGCCTATGCCGTGTCCTCTCCAACGGAGCTTTTGGAGTCTGCAAACAATACTGATAGATGATGGTAAGCAGAGGCAGAATTTTTTCTTATTATTATTTTCCTCCCCCAAAATTAAAGTGTGTCTTAAACTCCGGAGCGTCTTATACTCTGAAAAATACAGTAAACTGACAAATGTAATAGTTAATTTCTTAAACCATGTTTTTCTAATCTATTTTTCTTTGTTGAATTCAACAAAGAGAATCTCAGGTATTATTAGAGAGCAAAATGCTTGTGACATTAGATTAAACCAGGGGTAGTCAATCTTTTTATACCTACCGCCCACTTTTGTATCTCTGTCAGTAGTAACATTTTCTAACCGCCCACCGGTTCCACAGTAATGCTGATTTATAAAGTAGGGAAGTAACTTTACTTTATAAAATTTATAAAGCAGTTACAGCAAACCCCTATTGCCCACCATGAAAGCTGGAACGCCCACTAGTGGGCGGAAGGGACCAGGTTGACTACCACTGGATTAAACCAAGAGTTAAGTTGCTTTCATACACCAATTACTCACAATGAACAGACTCCTTGTCTGAGGTTTCCAGACGGCCCATGTACGATTGAACTTCATGGATCTGCCTGTTAAAAAGAAAACAGGAAAACAGAAGATCTAGTAGCTATTCCAAAAGAAAAGGTGAATTTTTCAAGAATAGATACTAATGCACAGAGCAAGAGAGATTCTCCAAATGATTTTTTTGTGTGCAAGTAAACGAATATTATAAGGTTGGAAAATTACACATGCTTCTTAATATTGATACATTATTTTCCATAAGTATTAAAGTTTTTTCCATAAAGGTTTAGATAATTTTTTTTATACAAACCAAATGCAAGATTATAAGCAGCCATTTGTCTCCCCAATTGTAGAGTAAGACCATCAGCAGGTGAACAAGAAAGCCAAATTGATTCTTTTTACATCAGACTTGAGTAAATACGCTAGAGTCTACCAACTATCGCTGCCTTACTTGCAAAACTGAGGTGACAGTTGTAGAAACCCACCCCCCCATAATTCACCTATTTTTTTATTAACATTTGTTTAAAATTCATGGTGTTCTAAATTAACATTGGTTATGCCAGACAATTGAAAGGAAGCAAATCAAGAAATTATTAAGTCAGCATTTAGTTTTTTACATGCTAATCTTTTACGTTCCCCACATCAATGTAATGTCTTCCTCAAAAGTTGTGCGCTCCAGGCATATTTGGATGAAACCAAATAAATAAACTCTAGTCTAAACAGTCTTAAGGAAAATAGTGAGTTGTCTTCAAATATTTAATATTCTTAAAAGGCAAATTTCAACCCAACCTCTAATTGCTTGAATAAAACACTTCACACTCTTTTTACTTCAATATTTCAGTTTAACTATTCTGGCAAATAGAAAAACCCACATCAATTTAAGCATAGAAGACATTCCACTTCAAGCAATTTCTTTCACATTCTTAATAAAATGAGAATGTTGATGGATCTGTGCTTTCGAGGTTATCTTAAAACGGGAGATGTGATGCTTCCATTAATTATCTGGCACATTTCCTAAGGATCATCTCCAAAACAAACAATGGGAGTGAAATGATGGGAAGAACTCAGCCTTGCCAACTGGAAGACCTGTTTTGGAAATAGAACAAATCACACCAGAGGCACAGAAAATGTGACAGGACACTGGAAATCCAGTGGAGAAAGGAGGGGAAGAATGTTCTGTCCGCAACATCTCCTGCAAACGGATGTGTGATACAGAAATGATTGCATCACACCAGGAGAGAAAGAAAAGTCAATTAGAAGGTAGAGAAAGTATGGAGCAGATCTGCAAGAAAAGATCTCCACTGATGTGAAAACAGGGAGGAGCATGGTGTTATTCTCCATCCAACTGAAAATGCAAAATAATAAATTATGGAATATTTTCCCATGTATTTTATTTTAAATCATTCATAAACTAGATATGAAAAATTGGTCTATATTAGAAATATTTATTTATTATTTATACATACATTCTATAGCTGCCCATCTCAGCCAACTGTCTGGATGACTTACAATTCTAATACACTACATAAACTAAACATGTGAAAGAATAAGGGCATTGTAACACAGCAACCTTTATTTTTCAAAAAATCATGAAAAGAATAGAATGAAAACAAAGAGAGAAGGAAAAGGAAAAGGAAGAGGAACTTTTGATGAGACTTTAGATTCAAAAATTGAAAGATGTTTTAAAATATGCCTCCGGAATGTATATTCTGGTCCATAGTTGCCATTCTTTTTTCTTTATTTTCCAATTAAAATTTTCTGTATCTATTTGATAAAGGGAAAACCACAACCTAGAATATAATGCCTTTCTTCACTTTGATAGCTACATTTCTTTTTATTTCAACATTAGAAGTACACTTGCAAAAAGTTAGAAGACCTACTTTCCTTAAAATTCAGCATTATTAGTTCTATTTATAAGAGAACTTAAAACAATTTTAAAGGAAACTGTCAACTCTATTGCTTGAATGTTTCAATATTTTCAACAAAACTATTTCTACCAGTGAACAATATTATACACATTTTATAAAGTAATGAAATAAATGTCTATCTGGTATGGGTTTTAAAAATGAAGTATCACATATATTTCAATTCCCCCCCTCCTTCCAACAAACTTTTAATTGCTTCACATGGGCAAATTCAATCCAAGGTCTTTGCAGAACCATTTCTTTGAACCAGTATTCATCAAGTCAGCATGACTGCCCCAGGAAAACCTACTAGTAGTCTTCCAATTCTTCTAAGTGGGCAGGAGGGGAGGAAGAGAACTGCAGGCACTACTTTTTGATGGGATACCTACAATTTTAAATAAAATTCCCTCTCATCAGAATGGCTTTTTCACAATTAACTGTTTTTCAGAATATATTTGATTTGGGAGATGACATAATCTGTAATTGTGCTATGTATGCTAGGTTTCATCTGTTATTATTACATTCATGGAGAAAAATCTATTTACGTGGTTGTTAAGAATCAATTTGATCCTGTATAAGTATTAAGTAATTGTTGGATAGTGGATGCTGTGTTTGGTTCTGATGGATGTAGTAACTTTACGAGTGTCTTCTCAACCATGATATGGATAAATTCAATAGATAAATCCAAATTGGCTTTACCAAGTCATGAAGCAAAAGACTTAACCAATATTTAACGTTGTTAATTTTAATAATATGTAGTGTATGATGTTTTACATTACTGTCATTTTATTTTATAATTAAGATATCATTAAATCATATTTCAGCAAAATAACCTTTTAAAACCACAAAAGAAAAGAAAACATACTAACATATTTCTGCAATGGTTAGGATTGGCTAACAAAGAATCTAAACATAGACCAGATCAAATTAATGAACAAAAGCTAAGCTAAGCTCAGCTAGGGTTGTATGTCACACCTACAGTGCAAACCTAAAATACTGAATAGCATTTTAATCAGATGCAAAGGTCATTTAGACTTTTTCAAAAGTAAGTAGTGTAAATAGGCTTACGTACCTAAACTGTGGTACTCAAAGTTAGTACTTCTCCTTGGATTGGAGAAATGACAAAGATACATTTAGGCAGGAAGATAATAATACATTATAGTTAAGATGAATTCATGTATTTGGTCCATTAGACTTTTTATGCTACATTTGGCTTATCAATATGGTGCTGATTGTTTCAGACTTTCCCATGCCTCTCATACAATTTCTTTCCCTTTCAAATCAAAATCCATCTTGTCAAACTTCAGGACCATAGTTTCACAAGAGAGCCCTATGTGAAGGCATATGTAAATACAACAGAAGGGAAATTTGCACCTTCAAGTATGCAGTTGGACCAGGGAGACCAAAGTTCAGGTCAATTCATGTCACTATTGATAAAGGACTCACTCTGTTTCAACCTCTGTTTCCTAATAGCAGAAGCGGATTATCTATGTTGGAGTTTTACAAAGATGAAGGGACAAAGTGCATGCCTTTTTCACTGTATCCAATTTCTTCCAATGAAAAATGAAACAGAACTAATATTGTTAGCATTAATCTACTTCATAATTTTCTCAATTGTCAAGTTTATTTAGCCTATTACTATTTTTTAATTATATTGAGGGTTAAAATCCCATTTAAAGAACTCTGTAGAGTATCATAACTAAGATAACGTGAAATTAATGTTTTAAATGCGGAATCATGGATGCCTTGTATTGCTCAAACAAAATAAGAATTCAGAGCCCCTTGCCAGAGCCCCAACCAAAAATTCTCAGTACATCATGCTGGGCTGAAATACCCAGTTTGTTGTAATGGGAGCTTATGACTTCTCTATTTCAAAAGCATTAGAAATTCAATAACCAATATTATTTTTATGAATTCTCACTTCAGGGTAGCTCCTGGAATTGGTTATTTTTTTGATTGAACTGTATTGTTTGACTATATTGTGTTGTTCAGTTGTGACAATGTGAAATTAAACAAAGCCTCTTTTCTATAAGCAAAGACAGTTTTATTGCAATTAATATTTTGTATCAGTCTACTGTTTCTGCATGAAATCAATCAAAACCATCTTTTGTACATCCAAGTGAGTTTTATTCCAACTATTAGACTAAGTCAAATTAAGCAATAATGTTGCATTATTGGTTAATTAAAAGACAGCATTTGCTTCTCTTAAATTCAGGAACTGGTTCAGGAAGCTGTCTGTTGTACAGCTTCTTGTCCAGAAGGGTTTTCCCCCTAAAATTTGAGTGAAGAAGCCGCAATTTTGAATCCCTGACTCGCAGCCCTGCAGGGGATATTTAGATACCCAGTGGTGCAATCCAGAACATCTGGAGGTACTGGTTTCCCCCGTTCTTCCCTTCAATGAGCCTATCGCAAATCCAATGGGCTCCACTAGCGTTATTTCCCGTATAGAGGAAAGGGGACCGGCAGAAGATCGGTGTAACTTAATTTAAATTTAAAATACAAAATGCAGAAAGCGACTAAACTCTTACAGAGACCGCATTGGATTTGCAATAGGCTCATTAAAGGGAGGAATGGGGGGGGGGGACCCAGGACCTCCAGATGTTCTGGATTGCACCGCTAGGTATCTATATATCCCCCTGCGGGGCTGCGGGGCAGGGATTCAAAACCGCCGCTGCTTCATTCAAATGTTAGGGGGACGGTTGTGAGATGGTGGAGATGAGAGATGCTGCGTCAACACGGAGAGTTTCATAAAAGCCTGGAGGCTCTTTGCGCTGGTGCCTCCCGTCCTCTTCCCTTCGCCTCTCTCTTCCCCGCCTCCCTCTCCTTTCCTCCTCCAAAGCCTTCCCGGCGCTTTCCCCAGCTTATCTCCGCCTTTGTTCCCAGCTCCGGAGAGCTTCCCTCGCTTGCCCCTCGCACACCCACTTGTTGGTCTGATGGTAAAGGACCTCCATGCCGGCTATCCACCCGCCACACTCCGCAGGATCATCGGAGCGCCTCTCAACACGTCAGCAAACCTGACCACTTCCGGCTTCCCGTGAAGCGAAGTCCTACGGGTGACGTCACGCAGTCGCAGCCGGCTGTCTACGCTCCTGCCTGAGTAACGTTTTGCTGCCAGGGCGGCGCATCGGCTTCGCGCTGCCGAAGTTACACGTGGCGTTTTGGCTTGCCGTCTTGGTTAAGATGTGCGATGGTGACGTGCAGTGCCACCTCACCCCCCCCCCCAACCCGTAAAAAATTAGTCGCTGAGGCATTTTGCATCTTAAATTTTGATAATGATGATGATGACGACGGCGATAACAATAACAACCCCATTGTCATTGGGGCACTTGGTACCATGTCCAAGAATTTTACAAAACACATCAAGAAGTTGCAGCTTTCTGCAATAACACCAGCGAACTGCAACAACCTCCGCTACTAGGAACATCATGCATTTTAAGAAAATACTTGGTTGATACCTAGGACGCTGGCAGCAACCTGTATCAACTATCAGTGCCAGTCAATGGTATTTGTGATGTGATGCATTTTTGAATGTTTAGTTGACTTGAGTTTCATATTTAATGAATAAAAGAAATATTGATAATTATAATTATAATGATTCTTTATTACCAGTGTACAACATGTACAATGAGATTGCTTGTGCTCCCTCAGTGCACACACCCCAACACAATACAAATCACAGTGAAGACCCCCCAAAAAGAAAAAAATATCCCTAACTCCATAAATCATTAAGAATACCCAGTCCCATTACACCAGTGTGAACATTGTGCCAGCCCTGCAAGTCTACTTAGTTATGATGTTATTTTGCGTTCAGGAGTCAGCGCTCACAGATAAAAACTGTTTTTCAGCCTGTTTGTGTGGCCGGCTATGCTTCTATATAAATAAAATTATACTGATCTTCTGCCAGTCCCATTTCCTCTATACTAGAAATAACACTAGTGGAGCGAATTAGATTTGCGATAGGCTCATTAAAGGGAGAAATCTACTTAAGTTGTTGTCTTGTCAGTCATCCAGGTCATGATTGTCCTAAAGATGCTTTTTCAAGAGGCAATTGGGTTTTTCCCCCCCTTTGAAGACATTTCGCTTCTCCTCCAAGAAGCTTCTTCAGCTCTTAAAGAGAGAAGCAAACTAGAACTAAGGAGAATTTTCCTGTCAATGAGAATAATTAACCAGTGGAATGGCTTGCCTTCAGAAGTTATTGGTAGTTAATTACTGGAGGATTTTAAGAAGAAATAGAATAGCCACTTGTCTGAAATGTAAAGGGTCCCCTGGTTGATCAGGGGTTGGACTAGAAGACCTCCAAGGAACTCTGTATTCTGCCATTGTAACTAGCTTACCATTATCCCAAATTGAAACTTTGTCGCCCGTGGGTTAGACTAATAACCCACTTTCAGGGCAACATTATTTTTAAATATGGCCAGATAGAGGGAGACCAGAAAATAATTTTCTTCCCATCACAGGATCACCAGCCTTCTTCTAATAGGAAAAACCAGCTCTGTCTGTCTGCTCAAAACCTTTATATAATCATATAAAATCATCTTTATATAATCATCCATCTTTTACTAACTTCAGGTGGCTCTCAATCAAAAAGTAAACTAATCACCTTAAAATATTAAAAAATAACAAAGACCTGGCACCAAGTCACACTTATAATGTGCAATTACCCAATTTACAGACAAGAGTAATGAACAGGATTTACACTTGTTCTCTTTGGATCAAGCAAGGTTAGGGATCTTTACGGAACTTGTTAAAGAATTTACTTCACTGTCACCCATACAAATGAATACTTTTGCCAAAGAAAAATTTGCTGAAAATTCTTTTCATGCATCGCTTAGTGAATGGTTTGTGGAGGTGGAGGGAGGGAGAAGACGAGATCAACCTCAGAACTGAGCCACAGCAGATCTTTTTTATGATCATGATTCCTGAATGCAAAACTGGGTACAGTCATTTGAAAATTACTTTTGAAAATCTAAGATAATAGTTCTCAGGAAATGCATGACCTTTGGCAGCTAATAGAGTAAAGAAAAACGTGCTTATAATTATTCAGGGATAGGTCAAAGCAAGGCCTTTGTAAATTTTACAGGAAATTACTTTTGTATTAATGGAGCTAACTCTGCATTCTTTATCCATCCGCCTCTCAACCTATTCCATTTTTTTCTCACCTCACCTGGGGCCAGACAGCTTCAGAACGGATGTTCTGACCTAGTTAAAAGCATTCCAGCAAAACCCTGTGATTTACTTAAGCCAATTTGACCTATTGGACCATAAACTATATGCACAATCTCACCATACCATGTACTAAGCTAAAATGTTTGCAAATTCAATGCATGTGGACATGATTTATCTTTTTCTCCTTGACATTTTGAGTCAATTGTAAGTACATGTGTTAAATAAACAAAATTCATAAAAAGAGATACAGCAACACAATAATTACATCTGGATTCCATCTTTCTCTTCCCTACCACAATGAAATTAAATTTGAGACAGGATAGTCACAGAGCAAAATATTGTCATTTTGGTTCCATATTTTGAGGATTCCGTGGCAATACCATTAACTCACCAAGCCAATAATCTTGCCAAAGGTGTTTACTTCTCGTGAGAAGATAGCATACCGCAGAGCCAAGATATTGCTATTCTAGTATTTACTTTATTCCTAGATCATCATTGATGCATTGTATGTATACAATCTATACATAAAGTGATGCTCATGATACTTAGCTGTGCCCAAGGTGGTACTTTTACACAACTTCATGTTGGGTATTAGTTGTGCCCCTATCTGGATCAGGAGACACTGTGTATAATCATTGACACTTCACTTATTTCCCGGGTGAATTATGGCCATGCATTCTATATGGTGCTGCCTGTAAAGAGCATCTGGAACTTGGTTTAGAACAGGCGTGTCCAACCCAGCCCATGGGCTACATGCAGCCCTGCACAGCTACTAATGTGGTCTCACAAGATTGTAAACTTTGTGTGTGTGTGTGTGTGTGTGTGTGTGTTTGTGTGTGTTTGTAGATTTTCGTGGGTGTAGGTATGCTGGTCTTTTTGTATTTGGGTCTTTTCCCGTGTAAGATTGAGATTGTCTTGGCAACGTTTCGGCGAGGTCTCACTCACCAACTTCAGGCTGGTGCTTTCAGCTTAAAGCGTGGTCGGAGCTGCCGTCTGTCTATAAATCTTGGTGGGTGGGTGTGGAGTGCTGGCTTTGTTTCAGCAAGTGGATGGATTGGCTGTGTGGTTGTATCATGATTGGTAGACTGGTGCTGATTAGTGCTGGCTGTGTGTCCGTTGTTGTTTTGTGTTGTAACGGTAGTGGGTGGGGCTTGTTTGTTGACTAGCCAACAAAGACCACCTGGTTTCCAGGTGTCTGGTAGCTGGGAGGTATTGTTACATTTATTCATGTTGTGGGGGTGTTTCTCTATTTCGATAGCTTTAAGGTGCTGGAAAACGGAGAAAGTTTCTCTTCACCCAAGTGCCTATAAAAGAAGCATTGACAGCTGTCCAGAACAAACACAACCCCCCTAAACCCATCCTGGACCTGACCAACCACTGCCTAACCAACACATCCTTCA